ATCTTTAACTGTTATTCTGGGACCAATATCAGGATACAGTACTTTCTTTATGACACAACCATTTAATAAGGTTCTACTTAATATATGAAACTGCCAGGTAACACCGCAAGTTTTTTTTTTTTTTAAAGCTCTGGAAAATTCTATGTATGATTAAAGCACAGCTGATTTGGACATATAACTACACTGTGTATGCAATTACAAAAATAATCAAGTGGTAAGCTATGATCCCAGAATTCTTTTTTTAAGATTTTACTTATTTGAGAAAGAGAGCACAGGAGAGGGAGAGGGAGAAGCCGACTCCCCGCTGAGCAGAGAGCCCAATGCGAGGCTGCGAGGCTCGATCCCAGGACCCTAAGATCATGACCTGAGCTGAAGGCAGGTGCCTAACCAACTGAGCCTCCCAGGCACCCATAATCCCAGAATTCTTACAGGCAAAGACTCTCAAGACATAGGTGAAGTATTTGGAGCTGAATTTAACAACAGTCCAGACTGAATCTCCCTAGATTCTAATAAACCTTTCTTTCTGTCTGTACATGTAAAGTTAGGCCTGGACTGCAACTGTCCAATGCAACAGTCACTAGCCACAAGCGGCTAAATAGGCACTTGAAATATGCCAAGTGTGACTGAGGAACTAAATTTAAAATTTATTTAATTTTAATTAATTTAAATTCCAAAATGGACATGTGATCCAGTTATTGGAAAACTTTTAAGTATGTTTGGAAAAATTTAGGTATGTGAATTTACTTTCTTAACTGTAAATTTTCTGAAATCTAAATAAAGATCAAGTAATTCTGATGAAAATTTCCTATCTGAATTGAAATGTGTTGTAAATTTAAAATAACACACTGGATCTCAAAAATAATACGGAAAATGTAAAATATCTAATTTTTATATTGATTACCTATCAAAGTAGTATTTTGGATACCAAGTTAAAATGTATTATTAAAATTAATTTTACCTATTTCTTCTTACATTTTTTAATGTGGCTACTTAGCAAAATTTAAAATAACATGTGGCTCATATTATATTTTTATTCAATAGGGCTTATTAGTCCTGCTCTAAGGCAATGGTTCTCTAGGGCCAATTTTACCGCCCAAGGGACATCTGGCAATGTCTGGAAATTGTTGGTTGTCACAAATGGGATGCTGCACTGGCATCTAGTAGATGGGAGGCCAGGAATGCGCTAAACATCCTACAATACACAGGGCACTTCCCTAAACAAAGAATTATGCACCTTAAAATGCCAAAAGTACTGAGGTTGAGAAACTCTGCTCTAATAGTTTTTCTGCAGCATGGCACACATAAAAACTCCATTGTCTCTTACAAGCTTATCCTTTGATCCAATAGCTTATTTTCTCTTGCATCAGAGAAACTGCAGACTAGACTAATTATAATTAGTTGAAGCATCTTCACATTTGTACTAAGTTCACCTTTAAGTTTGATTACTATCAACCACAGCTAATATCACAACGCTGGAAGACTGAGAGTTTACCCCTTAAGATCAAGAACAAGACAAGCATATCCACTCTCAACACTTCTGTTCAACACTGGAGGCTCCAGCCAAGGCAATTAGGCAAGAAAAAGAAACAAAAGGAATCCAGACTGGAAAAGAAGTAAAACTCCTTATTTGCCATATCTTGTATATAATAGAAAATCCTAAGGAATTTACACACACACACCCCTATTAGAATAAATTAGTTCAGCAAGGTTGGAAGGTACAAGATCAATATGCAAATTAAATCTAATGGTACCACATAAAGTATATTATCACTTTCTCTTTCTCATTTTACCATCCACTGGTATAGCCTTCTCAAATCCATTAACTTTATTATCTTTAGCTGATGAAGAATCCCATGATTATGGTTCTGCAGTTCAAGAAGTGTCTATGCCCAGAACAGACATTGTGAACACTGTACTACTAAATTCTTACAAATATTGTTTGTTAATGGGTTTCATATTAAAAAAATGAAAAGGAAGACTATTATCTGGATATACAATACACCAGAGTCTTTTAGAAAAATAGGCTCAAGTGGACAAACTTGTAGTCTTTTATAGGTTTCTTTTTAAGTCTTTTAAAGGACACATCACATTGCTAAACGCAGTAAACAGATAGCCAGTACATTTTTGAAATAACATACCAATTTGGAATGCTACAGAAACAGAGGTTCCTTAACCTCCTAAAAAAATCCGGATATGAAATATACAAGTTATTTGATGCTTTGGTGCCACCTAAAGAAGTTACTATCCTTAAAAAGAAATCCAGAGTACAAAAAAAAAAAAGATATTATCAAAGTTGTTAGATTAGCAGACCCCCATGCTAAATACCTTGCAGAGCCCAAAGTCTTTTTGCAAGGAACTTTTATAAAACAAAAAGACAAAATCATGGAGACGTTCAAGCAATCCATCACAAATATACAAAATTTTTGTTTCCAATTTTGAAACAAACAGAATAACTGGATTGGAAGACCTTAAGCCAGAAGAGCCACCCAGTTGCACCAGATAAAACCTAACATGGGCATTTATCAAATTCTTTCCTAAAACAACGTAGTACAGTGAGGACAAACTAGCCATGATAATAAACAAGCAAGGGAAAGGGAATACTTGGATAGCAGAGGATCCGGCTATCCAAGGAAAGTCTTAGAACAACAAAAGTAGAGGACTACTTACCTCCTCTTCAAGATTAATTATAAAGCTATTTTTTAAATAAATAAAAAAATCTGTGAATTAACACAGATAAGTAGGCCAATGGGATAGAATACAGAGTCCAGAAACGAATTTGCACACGCAAGGAGATTTGGTAATATAAGAGAGGAGCCACTACAAAGTTTAATGGTGGAATGGGCGTATTATTTAATAAGAGATGTTATGAGAACTGGCTATCAATATATGGGGTAGGATTTCTACCTTACAACAATCACAAAATTTAATTTGAGGTGAATTAGGCATATTTTGAAATTTATAGCTTTTGAAGCAAAATAGAATTTTTCAGACTTCAGGGAAGGAATAAATTTTTAAAACCTAACACAAAAAGGGCTCAGTCAGGGCGCCTGGGTGGCTCAGTTGGTTAAGCGACTGCCTTCGGCTCAGGTCATGATCCTGGAGTCCCGGAATCGAGTCCCGCATCGGGCTCCCTGCTCAGCGGGGAGTCTGCTTCTCCCTCTGACCCTCCCCCCTCTCATGTGCTCTCTCTCATTCTTTCTCTCAAATAAATAAGTAAAATCTTTAAAAAAAAGGGCTCAGTCATAAAGGAAGATGATAAATTTGACTAAACTAATTAAAACGGCCACAGACCACGTTAAAGTCAACCCACACACTAAAGGCTGCCATGTAATAGGGAAAAGTAGGCATATAGATAATAAATTCACAATGACCAATAAGTATATGAAATGAAGCTAAGGTTCTTGGTGGCCAGGGAAATACGAATTGAAACAAAAAGCTACTATCTCACAGCTCTGACTAGAAAAATTTAAAAATCTGAGGCAAGAAAACCAGAATTCTCTTACCTTACTGTTGGCAGTGCAAACCTGCACACCACTTTGGAGAGCAACTTGACAAGATCTGAAGTCACAGAGTATACATATCACACAGTATACATATACATTTGGGGCATATGAGAGAATATCTAGGACATCTGTGTGAGAAAATGTTATCAAGGATGTACACCTGCAGAACTGTTCAAAATAGCAAAAAATAATAATTGAAATGACCATTATTGGGGGAATTGGCAAGTAAACTAATATACTATAAACAGCAGTTATTTTGAGTGAAAAAGCAAGTTACAAAAGATTACATAAAATAGGCTATCTCAAATAAAAATATTTTTTAAACTGCTACATATTATTTATGGATACAAACACATGATAAAGTATAAAATCTTAAATAGGAAAGAATCACACCAACTTCAGAACAGTAGGTTAGCTCTAGGGAGAGAAAGAGGAGATGGCATCAGGGAGGAGTACAAAAGAGGAATATTTTATTTCTTTAAAAATCAGAAGCAAATATGGCAAAATAGTTTGTGAAGAGTACAAGGGCATTTATATTATTATTACTCTGTATATTTGAAATATTTTATAATTAAAAAGAATCTTAATGGGCACATATGGTATAACAATCAAATAAGAACATTAATCATTCATACCACCAAAACTTATCAAATAATAACATTAATTATTTAAGCCACAGAAACTTATGTACATACATTAGAGCATGTGATAAATAAGAGTTAAAAATAAATTCTAAAATTTGCAATTTACATTAGGGTTTTAAATTAATAATTTTGCTAATGGGCTTTGAATCTCATGCAATTTTTAATGTCCTTATGCTAGAATTTTAAGGGATGTTCTGCAGAGTTGTTAAAGCCATATAAATAAAACTTTAATCAATGATATTCTGAATTTCAGTCTTATTTTGGAAAGCTTTTTCTTTAGCATATAAACAGTAACAAGCTTTACATTTATATTTACAAGTCTCAAAGAAAAGTGTTAAGAGTCCTAAGTATGAAGAGTAGGTATTCCATTTAATTATAGTGTTTCACCAAGAACCTGATGCCCTAGATACTAACGTGGATAAACAATGCTCCATTATTCCCTTTTCTGTTCTACTTGAGGTTTGGGTCAGAAGCCAAGAAGTACCAATATTGGAAAAGTTATAAACAAGGTCTTATTATAAAACCATTTTTAAAGGAAAAGTGTGTAACTTTCACAGAGTAACACAATCCTTTGGGATTACTATGTCAGAGACAGACATAGAGAATATTTTAAGAAAGGGGTTAAGAAGAGGTAGAATTTTGCTATCTGTTCTTCATTGACTGACTCCTTGAGTCTCAAGGCTGTAAGATAATAAACACTAGGGAGAAAAATCCAAGAGACAGACAAAACTGGGTAGGATACTGCATCTACAAATTCAACTCAAGAGATCTGTAACTCATGCATAATACTTCACTCTTGACTACAATACTCTGACCACATTCATTCTATTTCAATAATAACCATTTTACCCAGTTGATGGTAAGCAGTGATTTTATTTAATATGACTTGCTTTTGCCAATTAAACATTTGTAACAGAGATGATTAGCTGATCTTTCAAGTAAGCTTGCTATCAGATATGCTAATATTTCCCATGTAATGGAAGACTGCAATAAAATTATTTCAAGTTCCAAACTTCCAAAATTTTATAACTTGGGCACAATTTTTTAAGGGTAACAGTGCTGTGGCAAATGGCAGGTATTACCTATTCCACTTCAGCCCATTATACTGAATTTTACTTAGTACTAAAATCATTAACTTGTACTTCTAAAGGCTGGAAAAAATAAGCTCCCCCAAATCTCTAATGAAGTGTAACTCTGGCCAGTAAGAATAGCAAAATTTGCTTACAAAATTGAAAGCCTCCTATGACATTTTAAATTTTTGTTTTTTCCACCAATTTTAAGTTTCAGAAATATTTATTTCTTCCCTCTAAATAGAGGGATAACTACCACTCTGCTTCATGAATGAAATAATCTAATTGTTTTTCTCAAATTCATACCCTCTAGAGACTCACTCAAACTGAGTAGTAAGTTCACTGACAAGTCTGCAATTCAAATTTCACTAATACATGGAAATTCTTCCACAGCAAAAGGTCAGTGCCGTGTATTTAATTTTCTGAATTTCATAACCCTTGATTAATGGAGACACCTTGAAGTTCAGCTTACACTCTTTTACATAGGATTTCAGAGCATGCTTCAAATAGCTTATGATAAGCTATATTAATAGCTTAGCCTCATTTTTATCATTAAAATAATCTACAAATATCAGAATACTAATTAATTTTGTTGTCATAACTAATAAATAAGTCCTAAAATATCTGTAGATATAAATCAACTCTCAATTCATTTGTCTCACTTGGACTCTTCTAGAACATAGATCAACAAACTGAATGGGCTTTTTAGCATAATACAGTTGTACAGTGCTTTCACAAATTCCAATTCTGTAATTTAGAGTTTTTCCATATTTATTTTTAAATATACAAAAAGATTAAACTATTAATATAAATATTTTCTCTCAAATACGTAATATTCTTATGTAAAAGAAAAGGTTTCCAAACATTTACAAAGCAATCTAAAGATAAGTAAACCTGATTTTAGGATCATTACTTTAACCAAAATAATTTTCCAGAGAAGGTCCTATTTAAAGGAATGCTCACTGGCCTCCTCCCATCAACACTTTAAGATGGATCCAGATCCACAGTCTTTGCTTGATTTACTTCAGGGATCACTTCCAATGGAAGGAAAAAATTCAGAAAAAGGTCTCACGACAGAGTGGACAAGTGGATTTGTTGCTAGACGTAAACCATTTGTACTGAAAAAGAAAAGGTTTTAAATGTAAAGCTGTCATTTTACATATACATCCAAGGTAAGCTTAATAATGATTAAGCGGAAAAGGGAGAATACCAAAATTTTGCTTCCTCCATTCATCTCCAAAATGAACACAACTCACATTATTTCCAAAAGCTACAGTATGATTCTTTCTCCCTAGGTTCCCGCACCCAACCACTAAGACATGTCAGGAAGACCTCCCTATGAAGCAACTGTATCCTGGGTGGCTTTCTTTTCAATATGATGTTTAAAAACAGTAAAGAGCTCTAACGCCAGATGGCCCCTGGTTCCAATTTTTTCAGTCTCCTTTATGGTATAGATCTTACAGGACCATCTACTGTTTGAATGAGAGCTATAATAAAAACACTCATTTATTAAAGTGTTTTGATGCTACCAGTATCTGTGAATTACTAATTATCTTTTACGGATTTTGAAAAATCATTTTAATATGCCTCTCATTAACTACAATTAAGAGTTTAACATCATTTTCTAAAATTAGATATCACATATATAAATATACATAAAATATAAGTAAGTTAATTTCTCTTTGGACTTACCAAGCAGGCTGAATGGAACTTTTTCTTGCATGTTCTACAGGCTTTTTTGGGAAGAGAATAGTTGAAACCATGAATGACTGAGAAACATATCATGCAATCTTCAACACCCTCAAAACGTTTGTCTACATTATTTTTCCATAAGGCTAGGCCTTCCATAATACTTCCATTCTGTTAACAAAAAGAAAAAAAATAGAGTAAATATACTCTGAAGACCACCGAAGTTATTTTTATTCAATTTCATAAATTTTAAAGTTGAACTTTAGTTATTAATTTTTTAAAAAAAGATTTTACTTATTTGAGAGGGAGGAGAATGAGCATGAGAAAAAGAGAGAGAGAGAGAGAGAGAGAGAGAGAGAGAGAGCGAGCACCAGTGGCAGGAGAGGCAGACTCCCCGCTGAGGAGGGAGCCTGAGATCACGAACTGAGCTGAAGGCAGACGCTTAACCGACTGAGCCACTCAGGCACCCCTGAATTTTAATTTAGAAAGAAAAGAATCTGCTTGGCTATATTCACATCTCCTAAGTTTTCTGAATGTTGGTTTTAAAATGACTTCGCAAGTTTTAGAAACCAGATATAATTTTTTCTCCATTAAAGACAGACCTGAAAGAGAGGTTTTGCATCAACACATCAAGTTTTATAGTCTCAATGTGCAAACAACTACAATTTGTTTAAAAGTCAAAGATCTTTGAGAGTATTGGGACTTCTCTAGTCACAGAAGGAGAGTTGAAATGTTAGACTAAAAGTAGCTCCAAAGATATTCGTTGATCCAGTATCTTACAAAGATTCCCTCTCCAACAATTTCTTTAATACCATGTATTGTTCTGTGTCATCCACAATGTCAGTGGAGTAAAGTCAATTCCTCTCAAACACCAGAAAAAAAAAACTGCCGAACCTTAAAAAGGAAAACAGCTCAATAGGTAGGTTCAGGTCATTTAGGCATACATCTGTGTTGACCCAAGGAAATAGAGTACCTCTTTCAACCTCAAGCAGAAGTGATATATTTTAAGTCTTACTTACTTACCTTTCAAAGAGGAGGTCAGTAGTACTATCTGGAAAGCTGAATATTCACAGAGAAACTTACCTGATGGGTGAGGTAAGTGCTTAACTGCAGCATCCAGTTCCGCCACTGCTGAACAGCCACACCTACTCTTTTCCCACTCTCCACGGTTATTGACCCCAGGGGGTAATTGGAAGGCAGCTGTATTATAAGTTCAATAACTATGTCCTCAATAGTGTAAGTAGCCATCACTTCTCGGGTAGTAGCTCGAGCTTTAACCTGCAACACAGGAAAGGTGATACCTTTTTGCAAATTTCTTTCTTTTCATTTAAAAAACATCTTGATAGGTTGACTATTGGCAGTCAGTCTTCATTCAAAGACAATACAGGTAAACATGTTGGTTTACTGGACAAGAGATATTTAATACATACATTTATATACCTGACGTATTTTATAGTGATTTTTATGAAATTCAAAGTTAGTTTCAAAAGAAATCTTTCTCATAAAAAAGTATGTTTTATGGTATTAGGGTTGCTGCATAAGTTTTGAACAGACCAGTGAGAGAATGAGTTCTTAATTATTGCTCTTCTTCCACACCCAGGGTATCAAATATCATTTATATTTAGAAGTCCCCTAAGTCTTTCTCTGACACAGAATTCTCTTTAGCTTTAAAGCCAACCATCAACCGTTAGAATTATTTCCACCTGGTTTTAGTTTTCATACTAGCATTGCAAACAACATAAAACACAAATTATCACGCTTGACCAATGTAGTCTTCTGACTGTCCGATTTCCAAGCTAAAAACCATAGCATCATCTTAAATTTTTCCTTCTACCTCCTCCCAGATATTAACTAGCTACAAGTTTGGATAAATCACCACAAAATTTTTAACATTCCTCTCCTTTAATGGAACATTCCCACTGATACTGCCTCACTCAGGCCCTCCTTGTTATTCATAATGTTTACACCAGTGGGTCTCCCTGACTATGCTTCTGAACCCAAGCTCCATGCCAACAGCCTATACTATATATTGCAGTCAGAGCAATTTTACCGATTATAACACTGACGGTGTCACTTGCCTCAAAGGAAAATTTTCAGTGGCCAAATAGGACCAAATATTTTAAACTATCGTTTGAGGCCTTTCCCAGTATGGCTCTAATTCATCATGGAAGCAACTGGTTCTCTATTTACCTTCAGGAATCCTGCTCTGTATGAATGCTGGCTTGTTCATCATTTCTTAGGGCAATCACAGAAATTACATTCTCATCTCCAAGCTTTTTGCTTTTGCCATACTGCTTTCTCTATATTCAACACCTTTCTCCTCACTGCCCCTAAAACACAATCCTGCCCACTTCAAAGTCACCTTCCTCCATAAAGGTGCACCTAACCCCCTCAGTCAGATGAACCTTTCCCATGCTGATCACAGAGCACGCTTCCTCTTAATGTGCCACTTTCCAGTTTCCAACACCAAAAACATATCGGTATCACTCTTTTCCCTTCATTAGATTGTATGATATTACACAGTAGGAATCTGACCCTACTAAACTGTTCATTTCCCAAGTGATTGACACAAAGTGCCTGGAATCTACAGGTGTTCCAATATATATTTTGAATGAACTAATGAATGTTCAAAAAACTCGGATGGGAGTAAATGAAATTATAACATTGTTTCAGTCTATACATTAATACTGAGACTTGATACCTAAGAATGAAGTAGAAAATATAGTAGACAATTTCTGTAAATTCTGAACCAATGGTTAATATTGTGATGATACTCACTACCAATGACAGACATAAACAATATTTAAACAACTTTTCTGGAAAAAATTCAAGATAATACTAACCGTCATGCCATTAAATAGTTGTGTACTTGTTTGCACAGAAGAAATTTCTTGAAAGGAAAGAACATTGCTGACATACTTGCTTGTAAATCTATCTACAATATTGAAAACACGCTTCTCACTACTATTCCACCACAGCCTAACCATGGCAGGCAAGTCTTTTAATGTCATATGATAGACTGAACAAGCCAAGTGTGGGATATGGTAGGGAAGAGTTGCTGTTTCTGAGGAAAAAACAAATTCTTAGTTAATAATATGTATTTCTTACATAGAATAACAGACTAGAAAATCATTTTCAATTCTTTAAAACTAGAGCTAGAGCTGAAAAAACAAACATACTGAAGAAGCCAGAACTCTAGAGTATTAACTTTCTCTCACATTCAAAATGAATCACTGGAATGGCAAAAAGAAGTAAAAAGAAGGAAGATCCCAAATGACACTGAAAAATCTGCCTAGACATAGCATTCTGTATTTCACATGACAGATCACAAAAAAAGGGAACATACAAATTTTAAAAAGGACAACCCCAAGCCCCTACGCCCAGGGAGTGGGGAAAAAAAAGTTAAATAAAAAGGAGGAAAAATTTAAAGATTGTCTTCTTATAAATTATGAAAAGGAGTCTGGTCCCTATACTTTCCCCAGAGCTCACTGTGAGATTATACAAAAATCCTAGAATATCCACCTCAGTACTCACAAGACATAGTACCCTCCTCACATCTCCAAGACATTTTAAGATGCACTTCAATCTTCTCATAGCCAGGACACACATTTGGGGTTATTATCCAAACTCTGAAGAGTACAGCATAATAAATACAACCTAATCTGGACCTAGTCTCCAAGAAAGAACACAAACACACATCTTACTGACCTCTAATACTCAACTGGAGCTCTTCTGTAAAGAATGTTTTAGGGTCCTTATTTGAGAGCTCAATAGCTGTCTCTGCATAGGTCGGATTTTCTGGCATAAGTCTGAACAGGTGATAGAGCAATTTATTCAAACTTTTTGTTTTTCGAAGGTACATTGAGTACAGTGCCCGAAGCTGGTGGAGAGTAAAGAATTTTTGTTAGTAAACCCAATTAAACCAACTCAGTGAGAAGAACAAATCAAAGTAGAATAGACTGTACAAGAACACAATGAAAAAGGCATTAATTTGAAGACTTAGAATTACATGGAAGAGTCCTACAAAATACATGCCACATTCTTACTTTCCAAATGTGTCACTGATGGCACCCCTCCCTTTCTTCATAAACAAGCAGTTTTCACTATCCCCTCATTATTAGACAGATTCTAACATCTTTCTCAAACTATCTCGTTAATAAGTTCACCTCTGCTTTCTCTAAGAAAATCTACTCCTCACTCCCTAGATGATTTGCTCCCTCTCTTCCCAAGTCTTCCACATACCCCTTCCGCACCACAGTTCTTAATCTTATAAAAGTCCTACTTAAAACTAATCCCATTTTTATGGCTGACCTCACACCACAGCAAACACTCCAGCATCCCTTTAGAAAAAGAGAGCACAAACTAGTAGTCCAAAATGTCTTGGGGTCTTCTTGTTTTGTAAAGCAGGATTTCACTCAAAAATATGGATTTCTGGGGGCGCCTGGGCAGCTCAGTCGTGTAAGTGTCCGACTCTTGGTTCTGGCTCAGGTCATGATCTCATGGGTCAGGACTGAGCCCTGTGTCAGGCTCCCACTCAGTGGGGAGTCTGTCTGAAGATTCTCTCCCTTTGCCCCACTCCCCATTCCCATGAGCGTGCTCTCTCTCTCTCAAAATAAATAAATCTTCAAAAAATATATGGATTTCTGGTTCCTTTTTTAAAAATGGAAAATCTTGTAAAATAAGTCAGAGAAAGACAAATACCATATGATTTCACTCATATGTGGAATTTAAGAAACAAAACAAAGAAGAAAAAAACACAAACAACCAAAAACTCTTAACTATAGAGAACAAACTGATGGTTCCCAGAGGGGAGGTGGGTGGGGGGTGTGTGAAATAGGTGATGGGGATTAAGGAGGACACTTGTGATGAGCACTGGGTGATGTACAGAATTATATAATCGCTATATTGTACACCTGGAACTAATACAACACTGTATGTTAACTATACAGGGATTAAAATTTTAAGAAATAGGAAAATCTGGCCCCACTCAGTGCACTAAAGGCATCTGTGTGCTTCAGAACTCATTCCTCAATAACCCAGTTTTCGTATGTTCACATTTACTTTGCAACTCTTTGGTATATGTACCGGTTTTAAAATTATTCTTCCCACTAAAGCATAGATCTCCTCTTGGTGCAAGACACCATTTTCTGAACATGTAGTTCATACAAGCATAAACTTGTTCATACAAGCTCACATACAAGTATCAAGCCATAGGATATGGAATTTATTTTTTAAATATGTTGATCAAAGTACCTAACAATGGAGAAATCTGGAGGACACTACCTTTCCAAGTAACCAAACTTAGTATCACCAATAAAGGACACATTGACATTCTGTGCTTCCTGAGGTGACACACTGAGGACACATCACCATGTCCAGTAAGTACTCTTGCTGAAAATTAACCAGAAACTCATCATGAGGAAACAATCAGACAAATTCAAATCCTAACAGAGTCTACAAAATAACCAACCTGAATGACAATAAAGAAAAGACAGGTAGGGAAATTATGGGTTAAAGAAATATGACAAACACGATGCAAATATGATCCTTGATCAAATCCTCAACAGAGAAGGAATAAAACTATAAAGGACATTACAGGGACAACCAAAAATATTTGAATACAAATTAGATTATTGCATTAAAATTAAATCTGAGTATAATAACTATATCAATACATGTCCTTGTTCTTAGGAGATATATGTTTAAATACTTTTCGTAAAGCATCATGAATCTGCAACTTTCAAATAGACAAGCAGAGAAAAAGTAAATATAGAGAAAACACATACAAAGGTGCCAACATTAGGGTGCCTGGGTTGCTCAGTTGGTTGGGCATCCGACTTGGTTTTGGCTCAAGTCATGATCTCAGGGTCATGAGATTGAGTCCCACATCAGGCTCCATGCTCAGTGGGGAGTCTGCATGAGATTCTCTCTTCCTCTCCCTCTCCCTGCTGTGCTCTCTCTCTCTCTCTCCAAAAAATAAATAAATCTTCAAAGGTAGCAACATTTAAAAATTTGTGACTCTAGGAAAAGGGTACATGACTTTTCATTGAATTACTCTTCTACCTCCTCTGTAAATCTGAATTTAAAAAAAAAAGTTGGAAGTAGAATTTTAAAAAGCTAATGATACATATCAATGGATTTTTTCTGATAAAGGTTAGTATCCAAAATATATAAAGAACTTATAAGAACACCCAAAAACCAAAAATAATCCAGTTAAAAAATAGAAGACATGAACAGACATTTTTCTAAAGACATTCAGATGGCCAACAGACACACAAAATGATTACCAACATCACTCATCATCAGGGAAATGCAAATCAAAACCAATGACATACCATCTCACACCTGTCAGAATGGCAAAAATCAAAAACGTAAGAAACAAGTGTTGGCGAGGCTGTGCAAAAAAAGGAACCCTCTTGCACTGCTGGTGCGAATGCAACTGGTACAGCCACTCTGGAGAACAGTATGGAGGTTCCTCAAAAAAGTTAAATATAGAACTACCCTGGGATGACTGGCTGGCTCAGTCAGTAGAACCCACAATCCTTGATCTGAGGGTTGTGAGTTCAAGCCCCACGTTGGGCATAGAGCCTACTAAAAAAAAATAACAACAACAAAAAATGTCAGGTAATCTTCACAGAAAAATAGATCTGGTGTGGGTGGCACAGATCAACTGATCTGTAGCACTGAAATAATTAAAGTACTGTTGCATTTCAATAAAAAAAAAAAAGAACTACCCTACGATCCAGCACTACTGGTATTTACTCAAAAGATACAAAAATACACATTCGAAGGGGTATACACCATGATGTTTATAGCAGCATTATCAACAATAGCCAAATTATGGAAAGAGCCCAAATGTCCATCGACTGATGAACGGATAAAGAAGACATGGTATATATACAATGGAATATTACTCAGCCATCAAGAATGAAATCTTCCCATTTCCAACAACACAGATTAAGCTACAGAGTATAATGCTAAGTAAAATACATCAGAGAAAGACAAATACCATATGATCTCACTCAAATGTGGAATTTAAGAAAGAAAACTGATGAACATAGGGGAAAAAGAAAGAGAGGCAAACCATAAGAAACTTTTCTTAAATGGGAAACTGCAGAATTATTTTATTTTTTGTTGTTGTTTTTAAGATTTTTTATTTATTTATTTGAGACAGAACATGAGCAGGGCAGAGGGATATGGACGAGAAGACTCCCGGCTGAGCAGGGAGCTTGATGCAGGGCTCGATCCCAGGACTACATCCCAGGGGTTGATCTCAGGACTCCAGGATCATGACCTGAGCAGAAGGCAGATGCTTAACTGACTGAGCCACCCAGGCACGCCAAAAAACTCTTAACTATAAAGTACAAACTGAGGGTTGTTAGAGGGGATGTGGGTAGGGTGATGGGCTAAATGGGTGATAAGTATTAAGGAGGGCACTTGTGATGAGCACTGGGTGTTGAACATAAGTGATTAATCACTAAATTCTACTCCTGAAACTAATATTTAAATTCCAGTTAGTATGTTAACTAACTGGAATTTAAATAAAAACTTGAAAAAAAATCAATGGACTTTTAAAAACGCATGTATATTACCCAGAAATCCCACTCCTAGGTGTACAACACAAGAGAAATGAAAATATATGTCCATCCAAAAATTCATATACAATGTTCCCAGTAGCTTTACTCACAATAATCAAAAAGTGGAAACAACCTAAAAGTCCATCAATGGATAAATGAGTAAACAAATGTGGTATGCTCGTCACATGACGAAATATTATTCAGGCATAAAACGGAATGTAGTACAGATATATGGCATAACATGCATGAATTTGAAAACATTATGCTAAGTGAAATAAGCCAGACACAAAAGACTACATATGTGAAATGTCCAGGAAGAGGCAAATCCATAGAGTCAGAACACAGAATAGTGGCTGCCGAGAGCTGGAGGGCTTGAGAGGAAATGGGAACTGACTGCAAATGGGTAAAGGTTTCTTTTTTCAGCTGTTGAAAATGCTCTAAAATTAGAAAGTGGTGATATTTACACAATTCTGTGAATACAGCAGAAACACCAAACTGTATACTTTAAGTAAATTTGATAGTATGTGAAAAACATATTAGTAAAGCTATGAAACACATAAGCTCATGGCTTTGTTCCAGTTCAAACTGATTCACTGGGAGTTGTTTTTCTTAAGAAAAAAGTTTTTTAAAAAGTTTTTTAAAAGATTTAGGATTTAGGACCAATTACAGTATTAGGACCAGATTTAGGACCAATTACAGTATTTTTTAAAAAAATTCTGTGCTTTAGGATTTACCTGATTAGGCTATTAACTGAGTTATTCTGGTTTAACTGTCACCATTCGGTTCAAGTTCCAGGCTCATTAATGCTGCTGTACAATTCTTTGTGCCCCTAACCCAATTCTGGTTTAATGAAAAAAAATGATGCATGGCCATTTTCAAAATTTCTGAATATAAGATGATAAGAACAAAACTCTTACACATGGAAGACTCACTTGCTGCAATTTTTTAAGAGATCAACAATATTTTAAGAAACAAATATAAAAACCCAACAAGGAGTTCTTGAAATACATCACCAGCAAATAAAACTAGCTCAAGTCACAAACATAAGTGGCCAGCCTACAGAAAAATAAAACAATTTAAACATCTAGATCATCGTTGCCTCTGTAATTTGATCTTCCCCTTAGATATACAAATGCAAAGATGCGTATGTTCACATATTTGTATCAAGGTATGAGTTATTAGCAACGACATAAATTATAACTTAGGAATTCGGAAAAATCACATTGGAAATGAATGCCATATTTAATCACACCTCAAATATGAGGTAAGAAATTAAGTGTTACTGTATTAACCTGTCAAAAAAGCCACTGTTTATATTTAAAAAGCCATCAGTTTATTAAACTGATTCAATCAACATTTAATTGGAACTTTTTAAGTGGGGATCAGCCTAAAGAATAAAAAGAAAAAGAAAAAGAAAGAAAGAAAAACCTGGAAATTTTTCCAGCTTTCTTCCTAGACAATGAGGTCTTTCTTCCTAAACATGAGACAACAGAGACATCTAGTGGCTGCTAGAATAATTTGGGCAAAATAATTATCTTAAGATATTTTTACCATTTTGAGATAACAGTTTGAATTACACAGTAACATTTCATAGATCTTGCTCTAAACACTGATTTTCAAATAAGGTAAATTCCCAATGATGTACTAATAAAATCTCCACAAGGGTCAGAAATTGACCAAAGGAAAAAAAAAAAACAAAACAGCAAGATCTAAGTCCTTTGGAATTATTACTGTGGTAACACAAAATTAAATTATGTAAATCTTGTTTCCTGCAGTAAAAGGACTTCGTGGCTACATTCAGTAAGAAAAAAATTGATTCAAGCACATTCCAGAGATTACTTTTACAAAAAAACTGTGTGCGTGTGGGGGGCGGGGAGGATAAGGAAGTTAAGGGACAGATATAAATTTAGCAGAATGTCTGAAGTTAGCCAGGAAAGATTAAAATGTGAGGCATTTCCCCTTTTTTCAAAAAGAGGGGAAACAAAGGGTTTAGAACAGTAACAGAAACACACAGATGACAGAACTGTCAAAAGTTATCACCTATTTACCTGAGATGACGCAGCTTTGAAGAAAGTAAGTATTAATTTCCAGGTGAGGAGGTATCCCAGAACATAGCAGAAGTCTTCACTCAGTGGCTTAATAGTTACTATCTGTCCAACAGGAATACACCCCAAAACATTTTCTAGCAAGTCCTCCTGAGTTCTAAGAAGAGACATCAGTGCTGCTGGTGGTGACCTATGAATCAATGATTAAACACCACAATTTTCTTCATAACTTATCCCTTAAAAAATTCACAGCATGTATACACTTTAAGCATTTCAGAAAAATCTTTCTCTATTTTTCAAAAACCATTTTAAAAGTCCCCCTTTACAGATTCAGCTTTAACGGCTAATTTTAACTGCTAATTCTGTTAAATTAAATATATTTAATTATAAATACATTAACATATGTAAACGTAAAACACATTTTATATTCATAAATATGTAAAATATTTTTCATATTTATATTACTTGAAATATATATGAAAAATACTACAAAATATAAGCTCTAGTAGTTAGCGATACCAGGTCCTACCAGATCCCTATAAAGGGTAAAAAACATAAGACTGTATGTCTTTTCAGGAAAGTAAATTCAATATTCATATTAATTTATGACAATGTAAATTAATTTTCTTCTTTACTGAACTACTACACTCATTAACACTTTCAGATGAACTTAGGAGATTCTCAAAAAGTGAAATACATGTGTATATCCTGTCAAACTCTCTCTGACATTGTAGCTCAGTTCTTTCCTTTCACCTGTGCAACATTTCTTTCCTTGTGGCTTCCTTTTCCCAGCCCATAAACACAGGTCTTCAAGCTTCTGCCCTTGGATTTTTACCTTCAGCACCACTATCCCATCTACCAACCCTTCTCTATTCCATACCAACAGTCACTGGATTTTACAAATACCAGCTCAGGTATCTCTCCATTTCCATGCTGCCCTCCATGCACTATTACTGTTTCTAGAATGGTCTCCATCTCTGTGTGCTTCTTTGTATAATTTATGATTCATGCTATAGCTAGAATCAGCTGGTACTTTTCCCATCTTCTATCAAATAATGCCCTAAATCCCAGAAAATGTAATTTTTAAGGCCCTTCATTATCTATACCTTCCCTACCTTCTCTACATATATTTGTTCATTTATCCTTTTATTAAACAAATAAGCAGGATTCATGAGTCTTGTGTTAGGCCAGGGACCATTCTGAATGCTATGAATATAGTTGGGAACAAGAGACAAAACTTCCTGACTTTACAGAGTTTCTATTCCAGTGGAGGAACATACAGACAACAAAAAATAATGTTAAGTGGCAACTACTCAACACTCCCCAGCACATCCTGCACATTCATGCCTTCGCACATGGTATTCCCTTAATTGATATGGTCTTCCCTGCCCTGCTGAAGTGCTACCTAACTTGATAGATCCAGAATAAATGTCTCTTTCTCAAGAAAAAGTCTTTCCTTCTGGTGCAAGCAGCTGTGTTCCCCCAGCATGCTATCTATCCTGTTCCACAGCACCTGCCACACACTGTCTTCTATTATAGAGTAGTATCGTCTATAGTGATTATAAGCTCCTTATGAATAAGAACAACTACTAAACACCATATTCTCCCCTAGACATTTATTACTTTGCACAAAGTGGGTGCTCAATAGATATTTAAATTGATACTCTTTCCACAGCCACCGTGTGGTCAAAGAAAGTTCTGCCAAATAGTAGCAAACTGAAAATATGATTTAGGAACAATTAAGGAGAGAAACTATCTTTTTTGGCTGGACTCTTTCATTTTTATCTTACAGATGATTTATAAAAGATCTATTGAATGAATATATACTCTAAATTTGAGCTTTTGTGTTTATCCATCTTCTGAAGTTATTATAAGGGAGGTGGATTATGAGAATTAAATAATTATTAAAAAAACTTACAAGGCTGGTTCTTCTTCTTCATCTCCATATGACTTTAGATTATCCTGATCATATTGTGGTAATTCAGGCATCAATCTGCAAGTCAGAATATATATTATACTACATTAAACTGTTCATTGTTAAATCATGCTCAAGAGCAGAAAGACCAATACTTACTTTGTAATGAGTATATTTTTAAATGATTGTTTTCTGAAATAATCACCTATGGCCAGGACTATCTAAATGTAAACTATGTATAGAGAACAGTGACCTGGTGATCCAAAATCTGGCATCCCTGTTATTAAAATGCATGGTTGAGTTTATTTCTTTTTTACTTTGACTTTTTTTTGATGACCAAGGGTTAAAACTAAATATATATATAGATATCTATCTATCTATATATATATATATTTTTTGAACCACCACAACATTGATTCAATTGGAAGAATTCTTACTTGTATAGCATATGGTAAACAGCAATTTGCACAGGCCGAGCTCTGTAGAGGAGTAATGGGGCCAATGTATTTAACAAAGTCTGGAGATACTCTGGTAAGTTTGTTTTTTGGCCAGCAACCAATCTTGAAGGGAGTTTCTGACTCAACAGCTGGTCTTTCGGGATATACGTTAATGTTTCACACATGGGCTTCAGCATTGCATTCTGAAAGGATGTTTCAGATGTATCTTCACTTTCTTCTGATGACAAAAAGGAAAGAAACATGCACATCCCAAAATAAAGTGAGTAATAGAACTTGACTGATTCACGGTCAAACGTCATTTAAGAAAATGAAGTAAAGAATTGACAAAGTAGAGCAGTCCTCGCTAGAAACCGTTTAATGTAATCTTAAACAGTAATCATAACTTCTATTCTCTCATCCTTAAAAAAGAGAGAAGTTTGAGTTATAAATAATCTATTCAGGTTATCTGAATTACTATTATTTTAACTTGTAATAGTCTCTGGATACTTTGCCAGTTTTCAAATCTTGTCTATAAAGCAGAAGCATATGTGATGCTTCTGAGATGCCAAGTTTTCTCTCAGGTTCTTTTCTTCACTCTTCTGTACCGTTTGACTTAAGCAGCCAAAGTTTTTGTTTTGAATTTTTCAACTAGTCATGTGCAATGAATCCCACTATGATTCCCCTTTCACTTGCCTGTAACAGTCACCAAAAGAGGTAAAAGCAAACTGTGGATGCCTTGGGAAAAAAATTCTTTCCATTCACTGATTAGATTTACAGGGAGATTGCCAATGGTATCCAGAGTTGCAGAATCGAAAAAAGCACTGAGCTCACAGGCCAAACCACAGCTGACACAGGCAAACAGTTGTATAAGTGGAACAGAATACAATGCATGATTCTCACTTGTTGTCTGAAGAAACAAAAATGAAATAGGTTAGCAGACATCTACCAGAACACCACAAATCAAGGGATTAAAGAAAACTCTCTCAGTTCTCTAAATTTTAAAATAAAAAGCAGTTGAAGTGTAGTCTCAGAGACATTTATATATTTTACATCAAAATAACTTTTAAAAAAATTAAATACTAAGAATTAGAATCAATCCATTTATTCTGAAATGCTCTCTATTTCTAAAACTATGAAAGAAAATATCAATTATCATTTACCAAGTGAAATTATAAAAACATATTTATAATCTCCTCAGGAGCCCTACCAATTGGGCATTATTAAGTTATTTTTAAAAGAAGGACACTGGGGGCGCCGGGGTGGCTCAGTTGGTTGAATGTCCAACTCTTAACTTGGGCTCAGGTCAGAATCTCAGGGTCGTGAGATTGAGCCCTGAGTCAGGCTCTGTGCTTAGCGGGGAGCCTGCCTGAGATTCTCACCCTCCTTCTCCCTTTGCCCCTTTCCCCAGCTCATAATCTCTCTAAAATAAATAAAATCTTTAAAAAATAAAAAAATAAGGACACCGAGGCTCAAGTAGGTCAAGTTTGAACACCTTAAGCCACACAGCTAACAGCAAACAAAGCAGAGATTCAGACCAATTCAACCCTAATGATTTGCTGCCATCAGAGCCCACAAATACTATACTTGCTTTGTGTCATAAAAAGAGCATGAATTCCCTCTGAATTTGCTTAATCTTTAACGCATTACTGACACAATACATTTTAATAATAATTTAATTAAGAGCCAAAAAGATGAAAAAACTGATCATGAAAGATAAAACCTCAAGGGCTGTGCTACAAATACTGTATGAAAATGAGCTAATGGAGAGAACACTTTAAGAGCAAGAGATTTGGTCACTGAATGATCCTGGCAGACATTAAACCTCTATCATTTCACTGTTCTATCAAACAGTAACTGGTGAGGAATACATCTATAAGGTGTTTAAATGTTTGCAGAAGAGCTAATTACAATCATTACTTAAAGAATAAGATTAGTAGATGGTTCTGGTATAGAGATATGCATGAAGACTTAACAGTGGTGATGACACATCGGGTTAATTTACCTCCAACCAAGCCAACATGGAGCACATGATGAAGTCCCATTCACTCTCTGCCAAAGGAGATGAGCAGTATTTCAGAAACAGGGAAAGGAACCGGATTATTTCTATATTTACACCTAGTATCTCTGGACTTACTTCTGATAGATTACTGTGATAAAGATAAAAACAAAACAAAAAAACATGAAAGAATGATATGGACATTCAATTAAACTATTTTATTTTAAATCTGATATACTTATGAAAGGCTGACTTAAATGTTTACTATCCTATTACTGTACAAAATTGTGACTATAAAATACACAATCTGGATACACATTGTAATGGGGGAAGGAGACACAGTATAAAATATCACCTACCAACTGAAAAGAAAAATATCTTCATGATCTTTCTTCCAGGATATTAGAATTTTTAATATACCATGTAATAGCTCCCCATCATCTATGCTTCTGGTTTGCAGGCAAGAATTGAAAATGGCAAGATGTCCAAAACCTCCTAAAGTAAAATTCAAAATGAAAATTAAAATGCACACACATACACACCCACATCTATCCATATATACTGCCTTAAACCAAAGTCTTGTCTTACAGATGTAGAAATTATTGCTCTGTTTCTCTGAAAAAACTGGTTTTTGACAAAAAATAGGGATGATCATTCTCTTAGAACACGCTAATGTTAACAGAGAAAAAGCATTCTTTTCTTTCTTCGGTATGAAACTTGAAATGAGGAAATCATGTAAGCACTATAATTACTATAAATGAGAAAATGCAAGGAAAATCAATCACTCTTTAGAATGGTAAACTACCAACTCATTCTTGTATCGTTAAATTGTGTGCAAGAGACCAAAAAAAAAAAAAAGGAAGAAAGAAAGAAAATGAAAAATCAGAAAAAAAAATTGTATTGCTACTATAAAAAAAAAAAGTCTATCTTGAGATAGGTCAAAAACCTTCTCCTAAATGTCCTGGTTAAGAATTCTAAAAAGGGCTTACATGAAAGAGTCAACAAATAAGTGTGTAAGCTCCACAGGGCAGGGACCCTTTCTCCATACCAAGCACCTAACACAGAACAGGGAGTGGGGATGGGGATGGAGGTACAGGTGGGGTGAGTAAATGATATTGTGCTGGGTTTTTTTTGTTTTTTATTCTGGGTTTCTTAAGTATAGGATTCACTCAGTATACCCACCTCTCAAATAAAAACAAACATACAAAAAACATAGTTAGAGTGTAAAGTTAAATAAAGATGGGAAACAGAATATGTCATTCCATAATTCATATTCACTTCATAGGCATGTATTGTGGAATGTCTGGAAAGCGCTCACAGGCTCACCCCTCTTCAGAATCCCTGGTTCCTTCTTATCCTTCAACACTCAGCTTCAATATTGCCTCCACTCTGTGTAATTCCCACATATATGAAATACAGCCCTCTGCATTTCTCTGTTCTTAATTATCATGTGTTTGTTGCCTTTACAGCGCTAAAGGTGCTGTTACTTTTTATTGTTATCTCCTCAACAGAAAGTAAGCTCCATGAAGGAACCTTGTCTGTTTTACTTATCACTGTATACTTCCTCCTAGGACAATGCCTGAGATACAGACATTTATTTTGACTGACTAAATGAAGATGAATAAATAATGAATATCAGGTGCCTTGTTAGATGCTGGGGAAAGATGAACAAAATCCAGTCCCTGAAGGGACTCATCCAGCAGTACTAGGAGACTTAAAAACAAATTACAATATAATGTGGACAAAGAATGGGAGCCTAGAAAAGGAAACAACTATCTCCATCTAGGTTGTGTCAGAAGAGGCTTCCCGGGGGCGCTTGGGTGGCTCAGTCGGTTGGGCATGTGACTCTTGGTTTTGGCTCAGGTCCTGAACTCATGGCTCGTGGGATCAAGTCCTGAGTTGGGCTCCACCTTCAGCAGGAGTCTGTTGGATATTCTCTCCCTCCGTCCCTTCCCCCACTCACTCACGCTCTGAAATAAATGAATCAATCAGAAGGAAGGAAGGAAGGAAGGAAGGAAGGAAGGAAGGAAGGAAGGAAGGGCTTCTCAAAGCTGGCATTTGAACCGGGATTTATCAAAAGATAAACAAGTCTGCAAGAGTAGCAAAGGGGCACTCTAGCTAAGGCACAAAGTGCTAAAAAAGTGTGGAATAGGAGAGACATCACCAAGACGGCGACATAGGTTGTTCTTAGCTTTGCTCCCTCTCACAAGAAAAACAACTAACAATTATTCAAGAACAAGACCTCACTGAGACTCCTACAGGGGTCAGGATGAAACACCCCCTACATCACTGAGACCAAGACAGATGCATTAGGAAGGTAAGAAAAGCAGCTATCCACTGACTGCACTGTCCCTCCCCAGGACAGTGCAGCACCATGTGGAGAGGTCTCCCCGGAGACTCTGGTTCCTTCAGTAGGAAAAGAGAACCCAGGGGGGAAACCAACACACACACACACCCATTATTGTGAGTCCCTTGGTGGGAGCTCCTACCCTGATCTCACAGCACTGGGATTGCTGGGAAATTTGCAGGGCTCGGCCACTGGGACTCTGACTTTGACAAACAACGGATGAAGTGCTTGTAACAACCAGCACATGGATCTTGGCCAACCAAGTTCATACCCGCAGTGCCCAGCAATAATCCCAACCAGTGGCTTTGCTTATCTGCAGAACCAAGCCAGGGGCACACTGACCAGTGAACATAGCAGGGTGCAGATCTGCCTGATTCTGATTCTTAAAGGAGGAGTTCTGACAGCCCTAAAGCCCAGTGGTATTACCCACTCCCAGGTTAAGGAGCTGAGCCACAGCCGCCCCCTCCCCACCCCTCCCCCAACACACACTGTGGAGCATCTTCCACCCCATCAGACCAGAAGGGCTGGAGACAATCCCTGAAAGCTGTGTGGCCCCATGGCACTCAAGCCAAGAGGTGGCTGAGTGGGACTGATCACCCCAGAGCAAAGCCATGCATTGGGGCTTCCCCTGCTCCACACGGGCAGAGTGATTAATTCACAGATAAAGCTGAGGGTCACTCCTGGCCCCTCCTCCTCCCACCGAGGCAAGGGAGCTGAGACATAGCCCCACACATTGTGGACAGTCTTCTAGCCCACCTGACCAAAAGGGCTAGCAAAAATTCCTGAAAGCTCTACAGCACAGTGGCACTAAAACCGAGGTGGGCAGGCAAAGCTGATAGTCTGCAGACAAAAACCAGTGGCCCTGTTCAGTCAAGGAACTTGGGATGCAGTTCTGCTTGAGTTTAGACAATATAGAGCTTTACTGGCTTTAGACCTCTTTCTGCCACTGTGCCCAGGCAGGAAATCTAATTTGTAGCCCCACTCATCATTGAATACAACCTTTTAGCTAGTCTGACCAGGGAACCTAAATAACCAGAGCACACAGGAAGCTCCACAGCCCATCCAAAAACCCTGTGTCCAGCGGCACTTGAATAGCGAGCGCAACCCATGGCTTCCCCCATCTGCAGAGAGAGCATCATCTGACAAGGGAATTCTGTGCACGCTCTTGCCAATTCAGGTCCCCAAACAATGAGCTGTATAGATTCTGGAATCTATCCTGTTGCCCTGGCAGGGCAGAGAAACTAATTCATAGCCCAAACCACTGATGAATATAGTACCCAGTTCCAACTACCTAGTGAGTCTGACCAGAGAATCCAGGCAACCGCAGCACCAAGCTAGCAGTCTTTTCCAAATGTTAGCCTCCCCCCGACCCCATCAGCCCTGCTTCCTCAGAGTTCAGCTTTGCCCAAAAACAGACTGTAATAGCAGGCCCTACTTGCACAAGGACATTACCAGCAGACACACCTAAAAACCCAAACTGAGCTGACTGGTAAAGAACTATCTCTGCAAAACAAACCTATAAATTATTCATGTTTGGAAGAGGAGCACAATCGAATGTGCAGATACCAACGTAAGGAATAAAGGATCACAAATAATCAGATAAATATGACACCCAAAGGAAACTAGTAAAGCTCTAATAATTGATCCTAAAGACATGAAAATCTATAAACTGTCAAAGAATTCAGAATAATTCTCTTAAAGAAGTTTAGCAAACTCGAAGAAAAGAAGCTAAACAAAATTAGGAACAATGCATGAACAAAATGCGAAGTTTGATAAGAAAACTGCGACCATCAAAAAAAACAAACAGAAATTCTGGAGTTGTTAAAGTATTTAAGTACCAAGCTCTTTGTTATGCTATACAACAAATTGACTTCTGGTTCCTCATATGGGTACAGTGAAATGCCTGTATTTGTAGTTCAGCCAGTGTTATTAGAACTACATGTCCCACCTAGCTTTTTTAAGTGCAAGAACTTTATACTTGTGTAAGCAGAACATGTTTCCCTTTGTTCATATTCTCTGAGAAATTGAAACTCTGGTTTCCCTTCCAAAAAAAAGAAATTCTGGAGTTGAAAAATACAGTAACCGAACTGAATTCAACTGTTTCAAAAGTAGACTCAAAGACACAGAAGAATCAGAGACCTTGAGGATAGGACACTGGAGCAAAAAGAAAAAAGAAGAAAGCCTATGGGAATTATAAAAAAAAAATTCACATTATGGTAATTCCAGAAAGAGAAACGGACAGAAAGTATATTTAAAACAATAATGGCTGAAAACTACCCAAACCTGTAGAGAGAAATGGACATCCAGATCCATAAGGATAATTATTTGTGAATAAAGTGAATGTGAATAGGGCTACACTTGAGTCATAATTACATTGTCAAAAGTCAAAGACAAAGAAAGAATTTTAAGGGCAGTACAAGCAGTAAGTTACATCCATGGGAACCTCCATAAGAGTATCAGCGAATTTCTCAACAGAAACTTTTCAGGGCAGGAGAGAATGGGACAAAAACTTTCCTGGGCAAAACAAAAGCTAAGGGAGTTCATTACCACCAAACCTGCCTTACAAAAAATGCTAAAGGGAGTTCTTTGAGTGGAAATAAAAGAATACTAGTTAGCTACATAAAAACATAAAAAGGTATTGTAAATCTCATTGGTAATGGTAAACATATAGTCATAGTTGGATTCTGGAATATGATAATAGTGGTACATAATTCACTTACAACTCTAGTTTAAAGTTTTTAAAAAATATAGTAAAATTAGGGGCACCTGGGAGGCTCAGTCAGTTAAGCCTCTGACTCTTGATTTTGGCTCAGGTCATGACCTCAGGGTCATGAGATCAAGCCCCACACTGGGCTCTGTGCTGAGCATGGTGCCTCCTTTAAGATTCTCTCTCTCCCTTTCTCTCTGCCCCCTACCCTGCCGCTCATGGGCATGTGTGCATTCACTTTCTCTCTTTCTAAAAATAAATAAAAAATATATTTTCTTAATATAGTAAAAATACAGGGTGCCTGGGTGACTCAGTCGGTTGGGCATCTGACTTTTGGTTTCAGCTTGAGTCATGGTCTCATGGGTAGTGGGACTGAGCCCTGCATCAAACTCTGAGCTCAGCAGGGAGTCTGCTTAGGATTCTCTCCCTCTGCCCCTCCCC